AGGATTCTTCTATCATTTTCTAGAGCACACGTTGTATATAAATGCTCTACACATTTAATAAAGTACCTGCATGTAGATGCAGGCATTGTGGGCTAATCTTGGCCTCTAGAAAACGTAATGCATTCCCGTTGAGATAGTGAAATCTGCATTTGAAGGAAGTGGTTGAAGGATCCTGCTTCTGGAAACGGGGATGGATGCTGTAAACCTCAATATCACAAAGGCTGGGAGTTAGAGTCCTTACAATGCAAGTGGAAACAAAAAATAAATATGGGTTTTCTTACATGAACCTCTTCAAAATTTTGGTTGCATTTTGTAGGCTCAAAAGTACTTGTTTGAAATTGTTCTTCACCTGCCTACTACTTACTGATTCTCCAGTCTCAAACCCCATAAACGATTGATGTGATTTTTCCTACATAAAAACCCAAGACAGTGTCTTCCACACCCTGAGGTCCTGTGTGATATGTATGCAAGCACCCCCGAATTCAGAGTTGGAGCCAGCTCCAACAGGTGTTGGAAACTGTACGTACTTCAGTCATTCTCAGTCACTCATTTGTGTGAGCTCAGATGAGTAATTGTTTCACAACTGATGATTTCAAAGGTATTTGAGATCTAGTAAAACCTGTCAGGGGCACCTTGTTCTCATTCTTAGTCTTTGCAAGGAACCCTTTTGTGACTACGATTAGCATAATATTTTTATATACTCAGATTAACAAAGGTAATTCATGTTCCTAGTCTTGAGAACACCTTCAGTGCTGATAACGCAAATGGAACAGGACGCAAAGTTATAACTTAATCAGATTCTTGACTTGGAGTTCTGTCTTCTTAATCTACGTCCTTAAGCAGTGGGTAGCCTGGTGTTGGTGACCTGCATTAAATCAGGTTTTGTTCCTCCTTTTTGGCTTTCATAAGCTCAGGCAGATACTAGTCCAGCGAATCGCCAGCTGGCCAGAGAGTCCCATTGCTGCTGGTGCTGAAGATAGGAAGAAATGCCTAATCTGAAGGTGAAAAGACACAATAATTGTTCTTCCCTGATGACAGTTTGAACAGTTTTTGAAAACATGACATGGAAGATGTACTCCTTTTGCAATGGGAGGGGGCTGAATCATCCCTGAGGTGTTGGGGACTGCAGGTTTGACAAGGCTGCCAGCTGCTTGGACTGTTTCTTTGGCTGGTATTCTACGTGTCCTGCTTCTTATGTATCTATAGATCTGCCTGTCTAGTAGTGATAGTTTCTTTTGGGCACCACCACAACACATTGTGATGAGTATCTTATATGCTTTAATCAAACTTAGATTGAAATTGTCATTAGCTCATACTCACCTTCTACCTTGCTTGTGTTGCCACAGAACTTAGTGGCCTATGGAGTCATAGTCACAGAAACAAATTCCTGACAGTTGGACGCAGTATTGTTAAAAATAAACAAAACAAAAAATTTACTAGCAGTGTCTCTGAGGTTTGTGAAATTTTTCCATCCTGAGTTGCAGGTTGCAGCTGTGTGCAGGATGTGGAACTTCAGGATCTCTCCACTTGTATCCCCTACAGCCCTATCTCATTGATTATCTTATTAGTACAAGTTGCCCTGAAGTGAGTGTGTATTAACAGGACACCCTGATGATCACAGGTCTTTGTTAAAGTTTCGGTAATTTTATTGTTTATCTTGGAGGTTAAAAAATGCCGATGTTTGATTCATGAACATTTTGCCTGTGCGTTTGTTTCATGCTATGTGTTCTGAAAAGAAATGAGGAGTAAAAATTCTAGCTCATGCTTTAGTGGTGCCACTTCCTCATATGTTGTCTTGATTTTCCGGTACAGATAAAAGGAACTCCTTTTCTTAATGTCTTTTTTCCACCACTGATAAATGGAGA